AAATCTTCCTCCACCACTTTAAGAATTTGAAAACATAACTTAGAAATTTTGTGAAGATGCCTGTAGTTCACCCTCTGAGACATTCCCTCACCTACCTGCTGACTGCTTATTTTGGCACAGAATCTGTCATCTTCTAAACAAATTGTTGTACCTAAAAAGTATTTGGAGTTCTGTTCCTACCCCTAACCAGGACACATAAGAAACTGGAATTTGTATTTTAAGCCAGCTACAAAACCTCCTTTTATATTAAACAGTTTCTGCTCAATTCATACCTACCTGAAGCACAGCAGTCTCATCAATCTTGGGTCTACAGCCTCTGTTATCATATTATTTTCTCCCCTCCCACAGGGAAGGCACAAAGCTGCATTTTGCAGCTTCTGCCCAGAGAAACTGCCAAAGTCCTTGAGGTTTCCGCAATCTGATTGCTATACACATTAGCATTGTCTGATCCATGAGCGACTTTTGACTCTTTTTCTACCCAAGAGCAGATCTCATTTTCCTGTCTCTTCTAAAGTCATGCAAAACAAGAATTGCAATGGCATATATATATATATATATATATGTATATATATTTTTTACCTTAGCTCTCTTTACTCATTAAAACGCATAAATGCTACTGAATAATGAAAATGCATATTGTCCTCTGGAACATATGACAGTCCAGGGGAGCTCTTCTTCCATTTGTAGCAGTTTGAGACTAATATATGTTAATCAGCCTTCTGTGTCTCCCACTGTCATTGACACCTTGCCCTCCCAGTCCTCCTGCTGTGAAGCGACATGGCACAAGAAATTTAGGCATATTCACATATTTTCACATTACCACAGTACAAGAGTCCAGAGTTAAAGTAGAAAACATTCATTTAAAACAAACTTAATTTAGAGAGACATCAGCCTGATGTATAGATAATGTCAGACTACAGTAAAGGAAAAGCTGAGCTATGGCAGACTGGGCAAATAGTGGATGGCCAGAAAATGGTAACTAGGAGATAGCAGGCACTAGTTAATATATCCCCCAAAATACTGCAGATGTTGAACAAACTCCACCAGCAGTAATCAGTTTAAATACTATCCTGTTCTACACCAGTAGATGTACCACACCAGGTAAGTATAATGATGGCAGTTTGACACTGATTATTTCACGGAAAAAACAAGACAAGACTTTTGCTACATGAGGCAATGTAAAGATGTGCACTGAACCAAGCTAAAGAAGAAACATGGGAAGAGTATTATTCACCTAGACACAGTTAACAAACTACACAACTTTTGGATCACTTCCTTCTGCCAGCTTAGAACATGGACAGAGTGAAGATACATGTGTCTATCCCCAGTGCTGCTTGTCAAATTCCTTCAACTTCCACTCAATCCTTCCATATCCTTTGCATACAAGATACTCCCATTTTCTCCCAGCAAGGAAGAAATAACCATTGTGCAGTCAGCCTGCATATCTCCCTCTCTTTCTTTCCAACCATGCTTAAAGCAGGGAGCAGTTCCAGCTAAACTTACATGCCTGTGCATGAAGCAACCTCTTATCAAAGGTGGAATACTAGTATGGGAATAACAGGATGTTTTACTCTTCCTTCTTGTTACGACAATATAGCCATAATCACTATGTATTACCCTTTCTGATACAAATCATTATTTACACATCTTGCCCAAGGGGAAGGGGGGGGAGGAGTTTTGGATAGAAAATGTGAGATGTATCTACCTGCACTTATTGCCATTACAAAGTTCACAGGCTGAGGAAGAGGCCAGAGCACCTCTGAGGGTTCTTAGGGATAGTTGCACAAGTGTTAATGAAACCCCATTAATCACAGCCCTAGCCATCACAAACTTGTCAGCACAGGAGGCTGCAGACTACCCACAGCAAGTAGAGAGGTTAGAAAAACATGTAAAAGAAGGTATGTGTATGACCTTTCCTGAGTCTGTAGTGTTGGTCAAAACATTTTCATGCTGTGCCTAAACCAGAGATGGGAGAAAGAAATGCCATAGGGAGAACATCTGCAGAACTTAAAATGACACAATTCAGGGAATTTCCACAGTTCCACTCTCCACCTATCTGAGACTCGAATGGGAAGTATTTCTCCATTCACTTTGCCAGACAGGTAATTATTTGTGCTCCTTAGTACTCGTATTGATTGCACCTGCAAAGGAGCATTGTTTTCTAAGTATTTTGCGTGCAAAACATGGCAGGGGAGAAGAAAGAACTACGTCTTACCACCAGCATTAAAGCCCAGGAAAAAGCCTTATAAGCAGGAACTACAGCTTTGTGAAGAGAAACGGCTCTACCTGCTTGACATTCAGTCTCCTCTCACCCTGCTTGTTGCAGCTGCGCTAGACGTGCAGTAACCCTATACCTCTCACGCACAGCCCACGAGATCTGGCACCCGATAAGGTTTCATTGTTCACCGTGGCCCAAGTTCATTCGGGTACACTGGTGTGAATTTGCGCTTGCCCACAGTGAAGTCAGCAGAGATATACCAGCACAGTTAAACCTAGAGTACATTGCTGGCCTCTTGTTACTATTCTAGACACCTCATTATCACAGAGGAATTTAGTATCTTTGGAGCAGGTCTGGAGAAGGGAAGCCTTTACTGTTCTCCTGTGCCAGATAAAGTGTCTTGGAACCCACTCACATATGCGGACTCCATCAGATAGAAGCTGCACACCCGTCCCAGGTATTCCCTGACAGACAAGAAGATGTAGAGGATTGATTTAAAGTGTCACTTAATAGGAGGTCTCCTTCCTAGCTTTCCCATAACGTTGTTTGAGGGCCAGTTTAGAAGCTATGTACAGTTGGGAGGTTACACAAAGGCTTTTTTTGGAAGCCTTAAACAGGTTTGATTTGTCTGCTTCATGAGGCAAAAAACAGTCTTTTTATCACAAACACATGAATGACTTGCTGGGTTTGTATCTTAATATTTGACAGACTAGGTTTTTTAATTTTTCTGTCAGAAAGGCCTGCACTTTTCCTCTGTCCCCAAACAGCTATATTCTGAAAAGCTATAAGAAGAACTATGAACATTTCCTCCTGTGCATATTTATAAAGGAAAAAGGGTATAATGAAATGTAAGATAATAAGGGAAAAATGTAAGTTTCTGTAAACTATGCTTCTAAATCATTTTGGTAGTTTTGTTAACAAGAAACTGTGTTCAGCAACATCTTTCATTTCTTTAAGTTACACGATACAGCTTCTTTTGACTAAAAGGACCAAATTCAGTGTTGTCGTTGTTGTTTTTTTAACATGTTTTCAAGTGATCATCCAAAGACATTTTTTAAAAGGAAACAAAAAGACTGTAGTCAACATGCACAGATGAATTCAGTACTTCATATGGGATACAAAGAGAAAGACAGTAATTTGTAAACTGTGAGATAAAAAAAGACATCAAGGGAAGAGGGATTGCTTTATATAACAAGCTTTGATTGTAAATAAAATGTCTAGGCAGGATGTTTAACTGTAATAAATTGAGTGTTTGGGTCTTTGCTGACATATCTTTTTAGCTTTATTGACATTAGGCTGTATTTGTATGGGACTTTATTGCATGGCAAAGATTTCCTTCTTCGGGATTTTAAAAAATGACTTACAGTACAAGCATCCTGAAAGCACAAATGATGCTGATGATCAGAGCCTGAGAAGGTAAGGAAAAAAGAAAATCACAGGCAAGACAGGAGACGGAATGTGGATGTACTTAACTGCATTTTTAGCAGGATCAGCTTTTCGCTACATTTATTTTACTAGTAACTTGTAATGCAGTAAGAAAGGAGGGAAAAATGTTCTCCATATCATATTATTGCAATCTGAGTCACCAGTGAAACCAAAGGATTAAACTTCAGCTTTAGTTAGGGGTGATGTTCCTTCCATCCAGCCCTAGCATTTACTACTAAATGAACAACAGTTCTGCCCTCAAATTCTGAGATGGAAGCAGTTCATCAGTCAGGGTCTGGAATGAACCTAAATGTTACATAAAGGATCAAATATCTTTCCCAGTCTGATTGATTCAGTTCTTGAAACAAATTTATTATTTTCCTATTCTTTTTCTTGCCAGCTACCCTTAGTTGAGATTTTACCCCTTCTCTATGTTGAATGTTATTTTTTGATTTGTTTGTTTTGTTTTGCTTTTAATGTTCATGTTGCAAGGTTCAAGAACTTAACCTTACACCCTGAGACCTCAGGGAATTGTGGTCCTTCCAGTGCATCAGCTAACCTTACTGAGATCCGAGAGAGATGCCTGCCCAAAGGTGAGTGCAGGGGAAAGCAAGGAGGTTGCACAGCATTGCCCTTTTCTCTCATGCAACAGAGCACACTCACTACACTGGACAAGGGACTTGTCCCAGAGCACCCCTGCCCTCCTCTGTTGATCTATGCTTTCCCACACCATGCATAATGGTGAAACAAGCTCTTTTTATTCTGAATTATAATGAAAATATATTTTCAGGCCTTTGCCTGAAAATATACCATTTGAGACTGGGAGGATGTGTCCATCTAGTCACAGGGAAGAGGCTTATGTTTGGAAGATGGCTGGAGAGGCCTTTCTTTGACCAACCTAACACAAGGCAATTGATAAACCGCAGGAGTTTTGCTCTCACTCAGCCAAAAGCAGAACTCCTCTCTGCCTAGGATTTGAGGTCTCAGCTCAGACATCATTATTTTCATGGCAAGACTAAGAAAAGGAAAAACTGTATTAGACCCCACAAGGCACATAGGAGACCAACATGCAATACACAGGTCTGAAAAAGATTAGCACTACCTCAGTGGGTCCTTCGTCTCTATAGCGTGGCCTTCTAAATGAAATATTAAGGGTATGAATAGGTTTGAAAGAATGATGGGGGGAAAGAGGAGCAGACTTGTATGCCTTCTACCTTTTTTTTCTTTTCCAAAACCCACACTCACTTCTTCCTTTCAAAAAAGGATGGCTAGAAATTTATCCCTGAATGTAGCGAGCACTTGAAATGCATACGCCTTTAATGTGCAAATTCTATACCACACAAGGGAATAACTAATGAGCCACTATTTTAATGAATCAAGTTAAAATGGCAAGGTGACATACCTCATTTAAGGGAATGAATTCTTAATGTCATTGTAAAATGAGCCCCTCCTTCTCCTGGGAAGGGAAGACAATATTGGTTTGAGATTAAATTCTACATTTTTTGTGTCAGCTGAAGATTTGCAGATTTTGCACAGTACTCAGATCTTAGAGGATCACACCCTTCCAAAAACCGATAGCAGTTTTTGATCAGGGAAGATAATGAATACAAAGAAAACAAGCCCAAGCAGCACACAGCAAAGGAGCAAGGCAACCTCATGCCCAAGAGCCCACTCACAGCCTGCAGAATGAGCCCCCCTGGGCACCCACCACCCTGACGGGGCTGCAGTGGCCACACATGGCCCAAGATAAACCTTACTAACTGTTAAAAAAAAAAAAAAAAAAAAAAAAAAAAAAAAAGCTGTAAAAGCACGATAGAATATCATACTTACCACTTCTCATACATGGGGTTTTGCTGGCAGATGGGGGCTGCAGGGGTGGAGAGGATGGGCTGCGTGTGAGGGACAGGCTGGATCTGAACCGATCGAGATGGTTGCAGCAGTGCAGGGCTCAGTGGGTCGGCAGGGCTGGCAGTGGCTCAAGGACGACGGGCTGAAGAACAGGCATATGAAGCTTAAAGAATGGAGAGGCACCCCACTGGATCTGCAAGAACTGTGTAATACTTTAATCGATATGCTTTATATGTGAGATTGGTTTGCATGGTATAGTTGGTTAATTCAACAGATTGTATTTTTTCCTTTTAAAATTCATAGAAACTTATTTCTGTCCTACTCTACAGAATTATTCAAGGCAATGATCCGCACAGTTAATTAGCTGGGAAATCTGAAGACTATCTACAAGTACTGCTCCTGCATACTGTATGCAGCAACTGTACGTTCCTGCATTCTGCTGCTTAGGCTCCCATAAATTCCTGATTCGTACCAACAAGCTTGATCCAAATTCCAGTAAAGTCAATAGGAATCTTTCTATTAACTTGCATGTACTTTTTGAATCATTTCAAAATTCCACTGACTATACAACTTTACTCAAAGCAGTATTAAGTGTATTTCTAACATTATGCTTTCAATTTCCCAACCCTAATAACAACATAAGATGACCAAAAAGAACTGTATCATTCACTTCACTGAACTGACATCAACTATTCTATTGTTTGTGGACAATATTCCAAGAAGCAGGAACCATTTAAGTAAAGTTATATTTCTCCTTAAGTCCTGGCTCATTAGTGAGATTCTGCAAGCAGAAAATTAATGGACAGAACACCCAGTTCTCAGCAGGCACGTCTAACCGTCATGGAGCAAAGAAGGAAGATCTTTCAGAATTATGTAAACAATTCTCATAAACGTTGGAAGGAGCTACAGGCAAGTATTTAACTAACCTTTCCTGCTGGGAAGTGAAGGAGGATTGAATCATCTGTCCATGGAAACGAACCAGAGAAGAGCAAGGCTTTGATTTACTGAGTGGGAAGGACTCTGCAGCAGATTGCTGATAACCTTGCTTTGCAAAAGCTCACAAGCTAGAAAGATGGAACGTGTCAGCAGGAGGGATAAACTGCCATCCTGAAAACAGGAAAATAATTTATTCAGAATCAGTGTCCATTACTTTTCACAAAGAAATTGTTAGAACCTTAAAACATATTCATTACTGCAAATAGTTCCATTTATTTCTTTAACAAATACGATACGTGTTCTGAAGGTATTCAGGTTATGAAGAGTAGAATTGACTATTCCATTCACAATCTGAATTGTCTTGGATAGCTGAATTATTTGCATAATTTTAATTACATAACACGGGGCAGGAAAATTGAGCCTTTAATCACAGTGAGTAATGCTTACCAAGGAAGAAGTCATATTGAAGTCCAAAGAGCAAAGACTTTTCAACATAAAATGAGTCAGAATCTGGCCTTATTCATAGTTTGTGCTCTGAGGTATTTTTACTCCTTGTTTTTCAAATATATACCTGTCCCACATAGTTTTGTCAGGGAGCAGCAACAATTACCTTTTGACTTGCATAGTCAGCCAGCATAGCACCAATTCAAAACTGAAAGGCTATAAAAGAAGGATCTGATGTTCAGTGACTCAGGTGGAGGAAGCAGAGGGGGAAAATACTTCTTTCTCCAGAGTCTCCATGTTCATGAAGCACAACCATTCACATTTTTTAAAATGCCGTCTTCTAGTCCTCTTTCAAATTTAGATAAATGCTAGTAAGACAAAAGAAAGTCTAAAATACCATTCAGCAAATGAAAAATAAGACAGAGCTGCACCCGATTAGCTTTTAGCACCACACACGCAAAAAAATATGAGCTGTTCTGTCATCATTTTCTAGAGGTCTTTAGGAGGGATCTAAATTGCTATTGTGGGAAGAGCACTAATAGAAAAAATTACAAACATATGCTAACTTGTGGTGTTTTGTATGCCAATTAACACCCTCCCTCCCCCCAATAAATTAGATGAACTCAACAAGCAATATTCTTTATTAAGACAAGCATTGTAAAAGAGACTGCAACACAATGAACTGACAAAAAACCTCTGTTAACCTAACAAAAGTGATGGGACAAATCTGAAATTAAATTGTAGCTGCAAATAGCGATTGGCAGAGACACCACACAGCACACTACCCAATTCCAGGGCAGCACTATCAGAATCTGTCAGTGGGCATTTGTCACCTACACATGCACTTGTAAGGAAGAGAGTATGGGACTGAAAGAGAAGAAAAGGTACAAAATAAAGCTTTTCTATCAGTGAATGACTTTTTTTTTTTTTTTTTTTTTTTTTTTTTTTTAAGATTAAAAGGCCACACTTTTCCCAAAATGTGGTTTCAGCACCAAGGAATTTGAAATAAATCAGCATCAGCTTAGCCAGCCATTTCAGTTAGGTATTTCCAACTTTCCTTGTGGAGGAAAAGGTTTAAAACTATGTTATTCTATTTAGAGATGGAGCCAAAGCAGCACTAAAAGCAGGTCTAGCCAGTAATTTGAATGTCAAGCTATTTTCCTTCCATCATTATTATTTCAGTTTGTACCTGCTCGAGTAGAGTTTTGCCCACATCTGTTATGTCTGGTTCATTAGAAGAGCTTGCTAATAAATAAACTGTTTTAATAATAGACTTTTGGGTCTTGCACTAGAACAAAGTTATCATCTATATCTCAGGCCTTTTATCCTCCTTTTATGTGGAGGATGGAAGTTCCTTTTGTGGAGGATTTCACAACTTCATTTTGCTTTCCTTGGGAACAAACCTCTGGATTGGCAAACTTCTCCAGATATTGAAAGTATTGCTCTGGATGAAACTGTTTCAGTGTCGATGGATTTGGTGGGGGGATGGTGTTATGCAAGTTCACATTAGGGCAAAAGCGGCAAAAAACCATTCTCAACTATTCATAGAGACACACTACTCTCTCCAAAGCATTGAGGGAATGTCGTTTTTCTGATGGCAGCCATGGTTCAGGTTTTCTTTTTTATTTCAACATACATGGTCTCTTAGATCAAGCATTCAGAATTCAAGTCTGAAACTCGCAATTAGGCTTGTGCAAATGTACCCTGTGCTTTTATGCCTTTCTCCTTCCCTTCTTCCCATTCATTCTCCTTTCCTGCTTCCCCAGCCTTGCAGTAAAGCCTCCTAGACTTCGCAAGAGCTGCTGTACTCCAGCCAGCTGCCTCTTCAGCCCCAGGTTGTGCTTTCAAGGCATAGTCCTCAAGCAGGGTGGGGTTGAATCTCAAACTGCAGACCTGAGCCAAAGTGTGTGAGGCCCTGGGAGAGCACACCATGTAAGTGCTGCTGCATGTGAAAGCCTCTCTGTGTGCACCACCCATACAGGCTGGAGGAGACAGGGAGCTGACCTCTGACCACATTGGGTCAGATACCAGCATGACCGCATTAATACTGTGCTGCGCCAAAATTCACACATCCCAGTTTTCTAAAACACACTGGATCAAGCAATGGCTTTTCCACTGAATGGAAAAATGGCTTTTCCAAATGAACCACAGTGCTACTTTTGGCTCATTTATGAATCTCAGCCAACCCATGTTTAGTTTAGTCCCTCAGTTCTCTTTCCTCCATTTAACACGTTACCTTTGCAATGAGGTCTAAGGAATCAACCCAGCAAGAGGAAATAGAGGAGGTCATTCAGTTTCCCTGGGTCTTCAGCTGGCAGCATTAATCCTCAAGGCTCCAGAGTTACAAATCTTCTGCTCTCACAGGCATATTGCTTGTATGAAAAAAGGAATGTTCAAATTTGACAGGGAACAAGTAGCAGATCTGCATTAAGTTCAGTCAAGCAGAAGTATTCTATTTTTCAGCCACTCAATAACATGTTATCAGTTACCCTTTTCTTTAAGACAATCAAAATTCACTAGAGTGGTGCAGTGAGCTGTCCCCACAGAAATGGTAACACCTAAACCTGACGGAAATCTGCGAAAGTGACCATTTCTGCTGCACCTTCTGCCAGATGCCATACGAACAAATCAGCCAATTTTCCAAAACTTCAATGGAGCAGAGTAGTGGGTGCACATACATGAGGTAAATTTCACCCTTACAGTGATGCAGAAAGAAAGAGTTAAAAGTTCCCTTGTATACGTTCTACACAAACATGCCCAGAGGCACTGCATTTGGCTTCCTGTACCTTATGTTTTACCTTTTTACTTACCCCTAGTGGTTCATTATTGCAGGCCTTTGACTTGTGAGAACAAGACTCACCATTCCCTCTGGGAGTTTCGCCGCTGCCCTCTCGCTCCCTGTTACTCCCTCCCTGTTACTCCCTCTTTTGTTTATCATCTCCTAACTACCTCTCCCATTCAGGTTGGGAAAGGAGGTAAAAGGCAAAAATTTTTATCATGATTTCTCCCTCCTCCACAAACTCTTTGCAAAATCATTTTGCTCTTGAGAGAAACACCCCCATAAGGTGGAGACACCCTAGTGTCTTGAGCCAGGTAGAGTTAATTTAGAAAGCAGAGAGGAAGAAACCCACAGGCCAACCTAACATCACAAAGACATCCACACCACCTTCAGACTCTGAAATACTGGCTGCAGCCTGCCTGAGTCCTTCCCTCCCTGCGAATCTGCCTGCAGTTTAAGTGGATCAGGCTCCAAATGCTCCATGCCTGCAAGTCTCCTATGCTTGTTTGCCAGATTCAGAGAGAGGCTTTTATACAGCAATGGTCAGCTCAGTAGCAGATGTTTACAAATATGTTGCTCTAAAAAGAACCTCCTCTTCTATTAGCATCAGTCAAATAATAAATGTACTCAGTAAACCTGATTACATTTGCTGAGTCATTTATTTAGCACAGCTTTTCCCTCATCTTTTTGATTATCTTAATGGTCAAGGGAAGCAGTTTATGAAAATATATTAACCTGAAAAATATTTTACTATTTCAAACCTTATTCTTCCTTCTGTAGGGTAACGGGTAGCTTCTTGCCCTTCTAACAGGAGAATGTGACACGAGGTTCGAAGTAGCAAAGGCAACCTCTTCCCTTGGGTCCAGCCACCTTTAACTTCCACAGGGGACAGAATAGATGATTGAAAGAACATGGGAAGCCAAGCTCAATGGAGATGAAGGTGGTTGAAGGAGGACATAGAAAACAAAAAAAAGTCATTTACTGTTTGGTGCCTTTTTTTTTTTTTTTTCAAAAATATATCTGATTTCCTGGTGGATGCAATAGTGTGTGCTGCACATGTTTTCTTTTCTTTTTTAGAAATAAATAATTTGCAGGTGTGTGAAGCTCAACTATAACAAATCTTTCAAACCAAAGCAACATTTTCTTTGTATGATTAATACGTTACATTACAGCTTGCTTATAAATTAAAGGAACAGAATATGATGTACTGCAAAAGAGTTGCATATTTTCCCTGCTAAGCTACAGTGCCTGTAAATCATTTCCACCACACTTCATTTTTAATTTGAATTCATAAAAGGTTGTGCATTTCTTTGTGGTTTTGAATAAAAAAAAATGATTAAAGGCTGTAAACTTAAATGTTTATTAAAGGAAAAAATATGCTGATCTGAAGCTTCAGGAATTAAAATATATGTAAAATATAAGAAAGGCGAACAAACAAGCAAGATTTCTAGTTAACCCCTGGGAACATAAGTGAAATTTGAAGCTTTCCCCCATCTGCATTTGGCCAGGGGAGGGTGGCAAGGGAAGGCAATGGTGAGGAACTGGAAGGTCTGGAACAGAAATTCCCTCCACAACTCCCAGCTACCCAGGTCAGAAATTTTGTGAAGTCACTTTAGCCCACTGTTAGCTAACCATCTAAAGAGATGGATTTCAGTCTTTTAGAAATGCAGGTTAATTCCCACCACATGTCCAGATGAACAGTGTCAGAACTGATAGTTGGCCCTTTGCTATCCAGATGATAGGTGTAGTATCAGTTTCCATTTTGTAGCAATAAACTAACAAATTCAGGTTAAATCCTGCACTGTAGTTTCGATGGATAGATGGAGGATTTATTGCAGGGTCGTGTTTTTAAAGGAATTATGAGGGTGTTCTTTTATTCTGGAATTAAAAACAAGGTGACAACTTCCTATGAGATGCCAAATTTAGTTCCTGCCCAGCTCTGGATATTCTGGTGGCCTATATTTAAACAAATTTGACCTTCAGACATTGTTATAACATCAGTGAGGCAACTTTATGCCTTTATGAAACCTTATTTCTCACTTTTGTAGCCTCAAAGTTATGCCTTGAGTGTAGGGAAGCTTTGGGATGGGCTTCAGAAATGATCTTTAGGTGAAGCACCAGTCCTAAGGGGTACAGGCCATGCTTCTATTGAATGGGGACTCAATTCACATTCTCTTTATTACACAGCTCAATCAATTTAAGGAGAGATCACCATCATTAATACAATGGCCGTCAGGGGGAAGTAATTTTAATCACATTAGCAAGAAAGTCATTAGCATGGTATCAGACTGAAACTTTGCAAAATGCTTCCTATTACATATTTAGTAAACAAACTTAGAGCTACTTTTAATGCGTCTTTCAATAAGATATTTTGCCCATCAGTAACAATTTTGCAGAAGTCCAACATTAATGAAAACGATCGCTCTAACACCATACAAATCTGTAATTTCATAAAAGTTAGCTGCACCCTTGCCTAACCTCTGCATTGATTGATTTCAGTAGGAATGAATATTTGAAATAAAGCACATATTTAAAACTTTTCGATGCATCAGAATGCAGCTGAGTAATTCAAAATCCGTTTTGTCTTCGACTTAAAACTGCTTTGCTGTTAACAATAGTAGAACAAATTTTTCAGAATGCACTGGAAGGTTACACTAAAAACTGCACACCATATTTTTCAAATGGAAACAGTTCCCTGTTCATGTTGTAGTTGCTGGGAGTTCCCATTTCCAAAGCAGCATAATTTCCCCAGAGCAGAAAGAAAGGTTAACAGAGATCTATACTTTGCTCAAAGCATTTTGACTTGTACCTCTTCCATTTCGAAGAGAAAGGAGAGCTACAAATACTGTATGAGCTATCTGCCTGGTGATGCTGACATTTTCTTAGAGAATGCTGCATAGAAATCCCAGGCTTATCCTTCAGAAAATGCTCCTGCCATGTCTGTGTGCAGTATGACTGTAAAAAATCAAATCTAAAATTCAGCAAACAAAAAATACAGAAATCCCCAACTACACACCATCATGCTTTCATGTTTTTTTTTTTTGTTTGTTTGTTTGTTTTGTTTTGTTGTTTTGTTTTCAGACAGAAGAAAGCAGAAAGCCATCAAACTGGCAAATAATTTAAATTTTAAAAGATGATTAACTTTACATTATGATGAATTTTTCTTGGTCTGATCTGGTGATGATGTACAATTCCTTTTAAATTCCGTACTTGATCCTGGGTTCGGTTGACAAAGAGACCCTTTAAGCCCTAGCACGCGGTTCCACACAAAGCAGGGGTCAGGATGTGTAGGGTGCTTTCAAGTAATCAGACCCCAAGCCACACCAACACTATATGAGGAACAAGGCTCCAGACCACATTTACAGAGTCCAAGAGCAAAGGGGGGAAGCCTCAGGACTGCCTTGCTCTTCAGAGCATGCCAAAGGTTGCATCCATGTAAAATAATGTTAAGGGCTAAGACTTTATACCACAGCAGCTGAGAAATTCTACATCTCGGCCAGGATCAGTAATCCTGCATTTCTGCATGTCCGCAGTGAGTGTAGGGAAGCCCCAGCCAGCAGGACCCAACAGGCTGCCTAAAGAATCATATTTATATCAGGCGCCCAAAGAATGTTGTTTTGCTTGGCATTTCCTGCCTGACTGGTTCTCCTCCTAACAACCAATCTTTGTTTGTCTTAATTTAAGATGTTTACTTTCTCTGTGATTGCAGTAAAAGCCCATGCCTTCCTAAGAAGCAATTTAAAGAAAACAATGCAAGGCAGGAAAGCAACTCATAACAATGTCCAAGAAACTGAGCTGGTAACATTTCTGCTGGGACACTGGCAAAATAATGAGCAATCTCCTAATTACAAGGAAGGCATTTAAGTAAGCACAAAGGCCTTAGATGATGCTAAATTGACAGGTCTTACAGACAAACTGCTTAGTCACAATTTAGCAGAAAAAAAGCTGCCGCAAACATCTATAGACTGCCCAGCCAACAAGCTTTTGCCATTGTGATGCAACGTAACAGCGCTTTCCATTTATTTTTTTTTTACAGTTGAAGTTTGCATTGTCTCACAGATCCACCCTACTATAAAGTTATACTTATTTCAGCCTACGTTCCTAGCAAATTACAAAACCTTCCTTTGAACTGAGTGGACACTGCAAGAACAGAATCAATTCATAAACTGAGGTCCAGATACGATGCTGAAGACTCACAATAGACCTCAGTTTGCTGCAGTGCTTATTCATTTATTTATGAAGATCAGCTCTTCTGTATTGAAATCTCCTGCTACAGTTCAGAACTCTTTAAGGATTACAAGGAATAGAAAATTGAAATAGTTGCCAGTAAGGAAAAATTGTCAATAATATTAGGAACTTCTTACAACAGATTAGGCACACTCTAATATGCTACAGGAAAAGAATCTTCTCTGAAAGAAACCTGTTTTGGAGACAGTAGTGTAACATCGTTGTTCACTACATAATACAGTCTAAAGCTAACTGGGTAAAGGTGGCACTGTGCAAGCTTAGAATATATCCCTGTCTAAGCAGTTGGGAGGAAAAAAGAAAAAAAAAAAAAAAAGGATTTATTTATATGATGCTGTGTCCTGTTTCAGAGGCAATATCATAACAGTGTGTAACTCATACTTTTTCCATTCACCTTAATTTTTTTCCCTATCATACGTCCATTATTCTTAGATTTGAATCCATTCTATCATTACCAGAAAAGATTATAGTTACCTCACAAAAAAAAAAAATCCCTAGAAAAAATGGTATCTTAACAGAAGTTCACAATTCCATCCACCAACATCAGATTTCATCAACCTAGGAGTCTGTCACAATCACAGAAGTTGGCCTTGGAATGGATGCCCAGAGATCATCTAATCCAACTTCCCTGCTCAAGATTAGCTACAGCAGGTTGTCCATACACAGTCATGTTTTGATCAGTCCCCAAGAAGAGAGGTTTCACAAACTCCCTGGGCAGCCCATTTCACTGCTTGGCAACCCTCACAGTAAAAAGGTGTTTTCTTATATTTGAGCAGAATTTCCTGTATTTCAGTTTGTGCCCATTGCCTCTTGTCCTGTCACTGTATACTACTGAAAAGGGCCTGGCTTACATCTTCTTCCCCCTTCCCATTGATAAGATCCCTCTGAGTTTTGTCTTCTCCAGCCTGAACAACCCCAGCTCTCCCAGCCTCTCCTCACATATGAGGTGCTCCAAGCCCTTAATCATATTTTTGACCCTCTGCTGGGCTCTCCCCAATGTCTCCCTGTATCTCCAGCACCTGGCACAGCATTCCAGATGCATCTCAGCAGGGCTGAGTAGAGGGGGAGGATCACCTCCCTTGACGTGCTTACCTTAATGCTGCCCCAGAGGCTGTTGCCTTCTTTGCCATAAGGATGCATTGCTAGCTCATGGTCAACTGGGTGTCCACCAGGACTCTCAGGTCTTTTTCTGCAAAGCTGCTTTCCAGCCAGTCAGTCTCCAGCCTGTCCAAGTGCCTCTCCATGGCAGCACAACCAGCTGGTGCATCAGTCACTCTTTCTAGTCACTCTTTCTGTCCCATTGTACACTCTGTCCCCAGCATTGAACTCAACCATGGTGTTGTGGCAGTAGTGACTGGCCTTCAGCTAGACCCTGAGCCCAGCAACACAACTTGGTTTCATCCCAGCTTACTATTTGTCTAGCCCATACTTCAACAGCTGTCTATGAGTATGTCAAAAAAATCGTTGAAATAAAGATAAACAGCCACTGCTATCCATATCAAAACAAGCTAGTTTTCTGCACAGCTTACAGCCAGTGTAGGCTTTTTCTAATGCACGCTTCTTTCCATAAGCACTTAAAAAGCCTTACCTGCCCACCATAAAAATGTACTATATTTAAAGCAAGTTTGAAT